CCCCCCCCGAGGCTCATTTAGTCCCGGGGGGGCGCTCGGTGCGGGGAGGAAATTGAGGGTTTTTCAGGGAACGGGGTGAAGCCCCTCGGAAGACCCCTCGTGGGCGTCCCCTGGCCGGTCCCCGTGGCTCCGGTGCCCTGTCCAGCTGGGGTCCCGCGGGGTGAAACCAGCCACCTCCCTGGATCCCCGTCTTCTGCCGGCTCTGAGCCTTAGGTCTGGGGGGTTCCTCCCTGACAGCTGTAGTTTTTACCTATTACAGTTGCTCTGCTACCTATCCTGTCTCAAAGGGAGAATCCTTTTTTAAAAACACGCTTTCCAGTGAAGCCCCTTTTATTAAGCTAGGACACAGGAGGTGCAGGCACGAGCCAGGCTTGTGCGCGGGTGAGACAGGGCTCTGCCCGGAGGGGAGACAGACAGGCACCTCTCAGACAGGGCTCTGCCCGGAGGGGAGACAGACAGGCACCTCTCACGGACCAGGAGGCATAAAGATGCAGCTCCCGCTAAGCTCCCAGAACTGCACCAGCAGGAGAGGCCCCCTGAGGCTCTGGGGGAGGCATTCCCGGGGCCTCCCTTCCTCCCTGTGGGCTTGTCCTCCACGTCCACAGGAGACGCCGGGGCAGGGACCTCTGCGGCTCTCACAGCTGGGAAACCACGTCCCCGGGGCTCCTTCAGACAAACACATGGAGATGAAAATGTCTCTCTCATCAGAATTGTTTGTCAAAGAAAACCATGAGCTGCGGATCGCGGGTGGTGCCGTGCGCGACCTGCTCAACGGGGAGAAGCCGCAGGACGTGGACTTCGCCACCACGGCCACCCCCGAGCAGATGAAGGGCATGTTCCAGGCGGCTGGTGTCCGCATGATCAACAACAAGGGGGAGAAGCACGGGACCGTCACAGCCAGGGTGAGGGACGTGTGACGGCCACTGCACTGCCCCTTCCTAACGTCACAGCTTACGTTCTCCTGGTAAAAAATCTAGCAAATAATGAAAGCTGGTGAGAGTCCGCCCTCTCTCCCCTTCCTACCGCTCCTTTCAGCTAATTTTCACAGCACTTGCCTGTTACTCGCACATATCAGGGAACACCTTTCTGTGCCGTGGGGCTTGTTTCATGTTGATTCACCCGTTTTGAGGTGGGATCTGTTGACGGGCATCCTGCTAGGGAAGGGGATGTCACCTCCCCCCACCCCCACTGCAGCGGCTTCTCAGTGAGTCGTCCCAGGTGCTGGGTTGTCAGCACCCTGGTGTCCCCCTGTGGCCCCTGGTGCTGGCTTACGTCAGTGTCCCAGTGTCCCCTGTGGCCTGTGGCCCCGGGTGCTCTGGGTTAAGTCCTCTGCATGGCCACGTCGCGGGCCTGCTCTGACCGAATTTCTGGTGCCGCGTGGCTTTGTCTTCCTTGCAGTTCACAGCGTTTTTCTTGGACGTCGCAGACGTCACTTTCAGTGTGTGCGCCCGATTGGTTCCTGGGCTGTCACACTGCCTCCCCGGCTCCCCTGCGCCAGCTCCCAAACCTCTTCTCCCTGCTTCCAGGGCCTGTTCCTGGATGCCTGGGTGCTCTTACTTGTTGACACCCTTGTTTGATGGCCTGAGACCTGAAGCAGGCTGCTTTTCCCTCACTCTGGTCTGATGGTTTTGTGGCTGTGGACCTGGAGCCAGGAGGCCTCACTCGGAACTGAAGGCTTCTCTGGTGCTGCAGAAGCCTCGGCCCGGGCGGGCTTCTCCCTCGTGACACCTGAGGGCGTTTCCTTTTGGAAGCTCGTGGTCTTTTTCTCACTGGTGTTTTTAATTCTGAGCTGATGGGCCGCCTTTGTATTTGTTTCCTGTTGACTGCAGGGCACCGAGTTGGCTCCTGAATCGTCCTGACCTCGCCCCTTGTTAAGTGTCTTCTCCTCGGAAACCCCGGTGGTGCTGGACGTGGACCACGGGGACTGGTCTAGTTTTACCCTTTGTCTCCTCTGTTTTATATTCTGTCTTTTTTTTGCTTCCCATGAGAAGCCTTAACCTGATCTCATATCTTTCTATCCTGTTTGCAAGTTTTGCTGTCTGGTTTTTATAACATTTTTGGAGCCTGGTGTTTACAGCGATTCTCAAACAGTCTTCATATTCCAAACCCTTTCCTCACCTCTTGCCTGTGCCTCAGATTCCTGGGTCCCGGGATTCTGGAGTGAGGACTAGCTTGTTTCTAGAGGAGAATGTGTGTGAGGTCCAGCGGTTCTAGAACAGACTCCCAGGGGTCACTGGTGGCTTTCAGTCCCTGTGAAGAAATTCCGGACTCCGACCTTTCGCCGTTCAGCCCGCCTGCGGCGTGTGCTCCCCGCTGCTCGCCCTGCCTGTGGGGTGTGCTGTGTCAGGGGCACCCTCTCTTCCACCCGCCCCTTGCGCTCTGCCTTTGGTCATCTCTCCTCATTCGTGTGCACGGATCCTACTGAGTCTTCACAGCTCAGCTCACGTCGCTGTCACGAAGCTACTCGACTTCTCACTGCTGCAGACAGTCCCTCCAGCCAAGGTGGACGGAGGGCCTTGTACGCTCCTCGATGGCCAGCGGTGAAGGGGCCGCCCGCTGTGCTCACACATCTTCCTCTGTCGGTCGTTTGCTCGGGTGAACATTCTGTAAGCTGACAGCTCTCTGCACACTGCACACTGGAGCTATTAGAGTCTTCCAGAGAGGAGCCCGGTTTGAAGCGGAAGAATCAGTACGCTGCTCCCTTCTGCCCCATCCCTTGGCTAAGTGGCCATCTCTGTAGGTCAGATTCATCTTTTTAAGAAAATATTTTTGGGTCCATCTTTGAATATTGTGACTTTCTGTTTCAGGTGCATGTGCACGAGTTGACTGAAAAGAAAGAGGGTCTGCCTGTCAGGACTTAACCTTGTTGTCACCCCATCCAGTGATGCTAAAAACAAATTTTTTAAAAATGTGTTTAATAACAGCTGCACAAAGAGAATTTTGAGATCACCACATTGCGGATTGATGTCACCACGGACGGACGGCACGCGGAGGTGGCATTCACGACGGACTGGCAGAAGGACGCTGAGCGCAGAGACCTCACCATCAACTCCATGTTTCTAGGTAACGCAGAGGTGAAGTGTTTTCACTCCGTCCATCCGAATGCCTTCCGGTCAGGAGAGCCCTGCGTTCCGGAATGTTCTGCGGCTCGCAGGGCTGCCTTAGAGACGGTGTGCGTGGTGGTTACAGGGTGACCGGACCCCAGATCCCTGGGTTCAGGCTCGGACCCCGTCCCACCCTAGCTGTGAAGTGAGGCGTTCGCGTGGCCCCCTTTAGGGTCACTGTGTGGAGCAGGAGTTAATCACTTAGTCCTTAGATCAGTGCCCGGCGTCCCGTCAGCAGCCTGGCTCCAGGTCACGCTCTTACCCGCCCCCTTCCTCAGCTTCCTCATTTTCACTCATCGTGTTTTAAAAGCTGATAATTCAAAGCAAAACAAAGTGTGCGCCAGCTTCTCACGCCTCGGTCAGTCTTTCCCTCCAGGCCTTTCTCAGGCCTTACGGACGAAACATTCCTAGTTCTGGTTTCTGGTTACATTGTTCCTCTTAGTTTTGCTTTTATCAGATCCTGAGTTTTTTCCTACAAATTCTGATCTTTTTTGAAAAAAGCCCTCAGTGCCTCCACACTCAGCAGGGAGTCTCTTCGTGAAGGGAGAACATCGAGACAGATGGGCCACATTTGTTACTTTGCAACCAGACTTTTGTTTTTATTAACCTACTTTTTTAAAAAAAAATTTTGTTTTAAAATCTGGAATCTTTTAAATTTGTGATTCGTATCAAAATACCATAGGACCCAAAACAGCTCAGGGAGGTACCTTTTGATCCCCCGTTACCCATCTCGCCCACCCCACCCCATGGTGACCACCAGTCCGTCCTCTGTGCGCTTGGTTTTGTTGTTTCTTAGGCTGCACATATAAATGAAATCATACGGTGTTTGTGTCTCTGCCTGACGTATTTTACGTAGCCCAGAGCCCTCGGTGTCCACCCGCATCGCAGGTGGCCGGTTTTATTCCTGTAGACGGCTGAGTGAAGTTCCTCTGTAAGATGCACCAGCTTCCCGTCCGGCTCTTGCTAACAGGCGCTCTCCTCCCTCTCTCCCAATGGCCAGGCTTTGACGGCACTTTATACGACTACTTTAATGGTTACGAAGATTTAAAAAATAAGAAAGTGAGATTTGTTGGACATGCTAACACAAGGATACAGGAAGATTACCTTAGAATTTTAAGATATTTCAGGTAAGACTTTTAAAAATTAACAATATGGTTATTTCCAGAGCACAGTCTGATCCTGTGACACGCAGAGCAGGTCAGTGTACAGAGTGGTGACATCCCAGTGTCTGTCTCCAGTGGAGACGGAGCAGACGAGGGACCCCCCCCCGCAGGTTCAGCCCTGCGTTAGCGACACTGAAGATGTTCAACGGGAAACTCCAGAAAGCAGCCATCTGTAGGCTTTTTTAAATTGCGCACTGTTGCCCTGCCGGGCGGGGATCCAGGAGGTCGGGGCTCTGTTCCCAGTCAGGGCACAGGCCCGGGTTGTGGGCTGCTGCTGATCAATGACTCTCCCATCATGGATGTTTCTATCGCTCTCCCCCTCCCTTCCTCTCTCTGAAATCAATAAAGATATACTTAATAAATAAACTGCTCACTGTTCTGCGTAGTGTGATGAAATCTCATCCCGTCCTGCTCTGTCCCACTCGGGACCTGACTCATCCTTCCATCCAGCGTCTACAGGCTGCATCGCTCCCCGACCTTAGTCTCGCTTATCAAGTCAGTTATCAGACCATTCACATAACTTTTATTACAGCATATTAATTTTTTTATTTAAATTTTTTTTATTGATTTCAGAGAAAGGGAGAAGGGGAGAGAGAGAGAAACATTGATGAAAGAGAGTCATCGATCAGCTGCCTCCTGCATGCCTCATAGTGGGGATGGAGCTCAAAACCAAGGCATGTGCCCTGACCGGGAATCAAACCTGCAACCTCCTGGTACATGGGATGGCCCTCGACCACTGAGCCACACCAGCCGCCATGACTGTTCTATTACTGGTGGTTGTTACCTCTTTCTGTGGGTAGTTTATCAATTAAACTGTGTCACAGACATTTATGTATGTACAGGGTTCAGTACTGTCTGCAGTTTCGGGCATCTATTGGGGTCTTGGAAGGTGTTTCCCGAAGATAAGGGCACTGCTGTGTGACGTTAGAAATTTCATTCCCAAAGTATGCCCTTGACTCCATCCTGTGATTATCTTTTGTAGAATCCAGCTTTAAGTCGTTTTTCTAAATGTCCACTTTATTATTTCCTGCCCTGATCACAGCACGGATATCAGAGTGCCTCCAGCGGCCCTCCACGGCCAGGTGCTCTGACACAGTCGTGAGCGAAAGCCCCTTGGGGCTTAGCTTAGGCTCCTGGGAAACCTCCCGGGTGAACCTGGTGAGCAGGATGTGCAGTTGGGTGGCTTTGTGGGTAGCAAGGCCTTAAACTCTGAACTCGGACCTTTTCATCAACTGTGCTCCCTGGTGAGTTTATGTCCAGTGATGCCAGTGTCCACTGGTTGAGATGACGCAGAATATTCCATTGTAGTCTCTCTTTTTTAATTAATGCTATTCTTGTAACGACTATTTGCAAATAGCCTCTTTTTATAGAGACTAGAACATAGACTGAGCCTTAGCCATAGTCATTTAATTTAGATACTAATGAACTGAACGTGTGACTTTAAGGTAGCTCTGAGATTCTTTGACATAGACTCCAGCGTCCGCGACGAGGCCTGCCCCATGGAAACTCACTCAGAGCCCGATGTGGCAGACAGGCGGCTATCGAGGCTGGCATGTCCAGTTGGCACGCAGTCCTGTTTGGGTTCCTGTACAAGATGCCTTTTTTATTCGTCCCTCGAAAGCACCACTTGGGAACTGCACGCACTGGCCCTTCTCAGCGTCAGTGACGGGAGTGAAAGTGAGGCGGGCGGCCTGGTTTTTGCCAATGTTAAGAAGTTACTTCTATTTCATGGCTTTCGGGTTTTCTCGTCTAGGGAAAACGAGGTGAACTGGCCGCAGGGTTCCCAGGGCACCGCCAGCCCTGGCTGATTGTGTCTGTGATGAAGCAGGTGTGGGGCGGCACCAGGAGGCTGAAAAGCAGACTTTCCTGGTTGATGTCCCAGCACAGAGGTAATACACCCCACGAGCTTTGTTTCGTAGGTTTTATGGGAGGATTGTTGACAAGCCTGGTGACCATGATCCTGAGACTTTGGAAGCAATTGCAGAAAATGCCAAAGGCCTGGCTGGCATATCAGGAGAGCGGATTTGGGTGGAACTGAAGAAGATCCTCGTTGGAAATCACGTGAACCACTTGATCCACCTCATCTACGACCTCGGGGTGGCCCCTCACATAGGTGAGGCCGGTCGCCAAGCACCTGCCTTCGCGGATGAAACGTCGGGTGCAGCACTCCATGCGGGAGATGCGTGCATTTCGGTGGGAGAACCCTCCAAGGAGAAACGGGATGTTTTAAAATAAACTGAGGATGGGGCGGGGTGGACAGTTTTGTCGCAGCTGGGGGACAACTCAGAGACCCTGTTGGCCAGTGTACAAGGTGGCTCCACGGCTGGCCCTGGGTCTGAGGCGGCTTTGCCACTTGTCAACTCTGGGACATGGGTTAGTTCCTTGATTGCTAGTTTCCAAATCTAAAAACGGGAAAGAAAGGAACAGCATCTTTGTGAGGAGGGCTGATTCGATGAGTTCACACGTGTGCAGAAGAGTGACAGACGTAGAAAACGTTCAGTTAATGTCATAATTAACCTTTAGTAATAGTGGGTCACCTAGTGTGTACCTCGTGTCGAGAAACATGGGCATATTTCACATACAGACGGGAACTGAACTTGTGCCCTCTTGGTGTACAGGACGACACTCCATCTGGGCCACCCGCCCGGGCTGGAGGGGTGGCTCTTCTGTGGCTGTATGTAGTGAGTGGTCAGGAGTTTGCAGTTGGAGTGTGTCCGAGACTGACCACTGCCCCGTTCTGCTGCAGCTGGTTAATGGGTACACACGCTTGAGCTCCCCTTGTTTGTGCAGGAGGGGTGAGGTCCGCAGCTGTGTCACTGGGCCCAGGGGTGGAGGAGGGGACACCAGGCTGGACAGAGTCCTGGCGACAGGCTCCTGCCCAGCAGACATGGGTGGCTGAGCACGTGGGTGTTCGTTAAACCTGTCCACTGCGAAAACTAATGAGAAGCTGCTGTCCCCACAGGTCTGCCTGCTAATGCCAGTTTGGAAGAATTTGACAGAGTCAGTAGAAACGTGGAAGGATTGTCACCAAAGCCTATGACACTCTTGGCTTCCTTGTTGAAAGTGCAGGACGACGTCACCAGGCTGGACCTGAGGCTGAAGATGTCAAAGGAGGAGAAGAACCTTGGCTTGTTTCTGGTCAAATATAGGAAGGACCTAGTTAAAGCCACCGACAGTTCAGAGCCCCTGAAGCCCTATCAGGACTTCATCATAGACGTGAGTATGCGCCAGGCGGGTCCGACCACGCGTCCCGCTCGCAGTAACGCTGACAGACCCTGGGGCGTTCTCTGAACTGCGTGTATCGTAACTGCAAATTCCCCACTGCGCACGTGTCTAACTTCCTAACGCGGTGGCCCTGTCTGCTGTCTCAGTCCAGGGAGCCCGACGCCCCCGCCCGCGTCTGGGAGCTGCTCAAGTACCAGGGCCAGCCCGGCGCCCTGGGGGCCCTGCAGCAGTGGTCGGTGCCGGCGTTCCCTGTGAGTGGCCACGACCTCCGGAAAGCGGGCGTCTCCTCCGGGAAGGAAATCGGGGCGCTGCTGCAGCAGCTGCGAGAGGAGTGGAAGAGGAGCGGCTACCGGATGCAGAAGGACGAGCTGCTGAGTCACATGAAGAGGGACTGAGCGCGGGTGGCCTGGGCGCAGGGCTCCAGTAAGGCCTGTTTCCTCCCTCCCTGAGGTCTGGGACTCGGGCCCCAAGGGGCCGCCGCCGAGGGGAGCTCTCCGGAGGACTCAGGTCTTCTACACTCTGGACTCGATGGTGTCAGGCACCCAACTGCAGCTCCCGCCTCTGCCCTGACCACTGACCCTCATCCTCCGGGAACGGCTCCCGCTGAGGAAAGGACCCTGGGCCTGGCCATGCGTCGCCTGTCTCGGCTTTCACGTGTCTGCATAGGGCACCCTAAAGTTAATCTTGAAAAGATCAGTCTGTTTAGAGGGAAATGTGTCCTGGTGTCTGCAGTTGAAAGCCTGGGTCACATTACACACTTGTCTATGGTAAGCGCTAGTTCTTACCTGAATTCCAGAATAAACTTGTGTTTGAAAAGAGGTGACCAATTTGCACAAAATATCCTATAAACTATGAGACCAGCTGTGCCCACGGGGCTGGCATCCATTCCCCAAGACGCCGCTGCGTTTCCGTGTAGTGATGCCCCAGTAAAGGACGTGCTGCCTTCAGTAAATGTCAGGGTCAGGCCTCTACGGTTCCTCCCCGAGGATGTGAGCCCTGAACGCTTTCAGTGGGCAAGCAGGTGGGCAGCACCCGAGTGTATTTCAGCTGCTGTACTGGAGCAGAACGGATTTTCCTCCCGGTCAGAGCATCTCCGTGCTGGCCAGTGGCCGTGTTTCTGTGAAAGCCCAGCGAGGAGGAGGTGTGAGCACAGAGTGTAACAGCATCTGTGAGAAAGGGAGCTCAGAGCCACCCTCAGGCCAGTGACAGGGTTAGAAAGGGCCCGAGATGCTCGAGTGCCAGTGACTGCACAGCGGGACCCAACCTCACAGAACTACTCTGGGGGGAAGCATGCAGACGTCGCTCCTTCGGAGGCCTGGTGTTCAGGGATAAAGCACTAACAGTATTAGATGCAAGTGTTTACTTATTAGTTTTATTTGCAAGTGTCAGTAAAGAGTATGGAACGTTCTGGGATGACAGCTTCGGGGGCAGGTGGGACAGCTGTGCCCTGCCCTCAGCCCTCACTGGTTTACCCTCAGGTGGGGTGTGGTGCTGCTGAGCAGAGCTGGGTCCATTCAGAGCACGTTCTAGTCCTCACGCTCAGAACCCTGGGGTTATTCGTGGGGGCGGAAGCTTGGGAAGTAAGAGCTGCGGCGTCTGGAAGGAGGGGGCATGTGCTAAACCACCGCACCTTCCTGGGTGGCTGTGTTTGCTCTTGGCACCGGCACACATTTTGTGAAAGACAAAATAGTCTGTTTTGGCCTCATGTGTTTTACCCCATTGGCTAAGCTTTTCCCAGTGTATTACGTAAAGCGGGGAAGGACGGGCAAAACCAGTTAGTCACACAGCGGGAGATGCCGGGAGACCCGCAAACGAACAAAACGAATGAGCCCAGAGGCGGGGGCTCCGGCCCAGCGAGCTCGTCTCAGTCGTTTCTCACAGCTGAGTCGCCTGCGTGAGCAGGTATTTACATCACTAAAACAAGGAACAGTTTAGTTTAGTTNGCTGCACCGGCACACATTTTGTGAAAGACAAAATAGTCTGTTTTGGCCTCATGTGTTTTACCCCATTGGCTGAGCTTTTCCCAGTGTATTACGTAAAGCGGGGAAGGACGGGCAAAACCAGTTAGTCACACAGCGGGAGATGCCGGGAGACCCGCAAACGAACAAAACGAATGAGCCCAGAGGCGGGGGCTCCGGCCCAGCGAGCTCGTCTCAGTCGTTTCTCACAGCTGAGTCGCCTGCGTGAGCAGGTATTTACATCACTAAAACAAGGAACAGTTTAGTTTAGTTTTGCTCTTAACGTTTACTTACAGATTTTCTTCAGTTTACACTGAACAAAACAGCCTGAAAGGACAGTATCTCACTTCTGGCCTCTGCTAGGGGGGACATACTTTGGCGTCTCTGCTCCTTAGTTTAGGTTCCAATTATAGTTGGAGCAGAATAACCAGTGTCCTAGTTCAAATGAACACTGAGCAAGTACACAGAATACTAGGGGTTTTTTTAACTAACACACATAAGACAATGAAAACCATTTGGGGCTCAAACTGAGTATTTTAACAAATATTTTCAGAATTTACAAATAAGTACAGAGCCTTTTAAATGGGCTTTAGAATGCTATCCATGGCCTTGCCCTCAGACGGGAACAGATACTGGAGCCTGGAGCCTGGCTGCGGCACCGCGGCCCCCAGGAGTGCGGACACAGGCGTGCTCTGCACCAAGGCCTCCAAAGGCCAGCCTCTCGTCACACGTGCTCTGTGCAGGAGGCAGTCTTCTCACTCTCAGAGACGTCCTCCTGTCCCATCAGTGACCTGCTACCAGACGCCGGCTCCCACAGGATTCAGCACCGAGCTGCACAAGGTGTTCCTGAAACCAAGTCGTCAGGCTGTTTTCTCACCCCTTCAATGGTGTAGTTTAGTCCAAACCTTCAAAACCATGTGGCTAAGAGGCAGCAACCTTCCCTGTGACGTGGCTTTGTACTGGGTTTGCATCAGCAGCAGGATTCCCAGAGCAGACCTGGCCTTGGAACACCAGCTCGTTAACTAACTGGATCCCTACCATATCTACAAGCACAGCACAACTTTGTCAGGGCTGATCTCGTCCTCGGTGTCTGGAATCGTGGGCAGCAGAGCAGATCGCGTCAGACCCCAGAATATCTGAGGTAGCATGTCTTTTTTGGTGGCTGTGAATTTCCATCCGATGTGGCTCGCACAGACCTTACACTGGGCGACTGTCCAGGCAAACCTGCAATTCAAGGAAAGGTGTCAGCTGAGGGAACATGGCTGTGCCTCAAGTTTATAATGTAGCCTGTTAAGAAGCCAGATCTCAGCCACAAACCAACCCACTGAGCTTTGATCTACACAGTTCCTGAACCAAATCCCATGGAAAGGTTTCCTGATTTGTACGTTTTCAATTCCTATGTATGACGCAAAAGCTAGGCCGTGAAGAAAGCTGGCAGGAAAAAGGGACCCAATGCAGTAGGCTATGAGGAGGCCCTATGGAGACCCTGGGCCAGGAAGAGGAACCAGTGGGCCCTGGACAAAGGAAGCCTGATACCAAGCGGGAGGGCGGGGCTGGGAGGGAGACCACACCTGAGATGACGCCTGCAGCAGCCCCGGGGGATGCACTGTGGGGCCGGGCGGGGGAGAAGCTATTTCCCACAAGAGACTGAAACCACCTGAAGAACCAGCGTCTAAACCAGGGTGGTGCGTCAGAAACAAGCTGTGGCACTTCGGCTCCTAAGGAAACTAAACCAAACCATGGACTGTACCCATTTCCCTCCTTTGCCCACATTTAGCATTTATGTTAACAGGGTAATTCTAGTTTTAGTTCTTGGGCTAGAAAGTGTCAAGTAAGACTGGACAAGCCAGCTGACGTGGTTCAGAACAGCGGTGAAACTTCTCATTCTTGCTCAGCTCGTTTCGTCTTTTTTAAAAAAGGGCTGACCCACAATTTGGCAGAAAAGGCAAATAATAGGGTTCTTGAGGATGTGGCTGAGGGGCTCGCCCCGGCTCCCTGGTGGGGCTGCTGGTCCCAGGCTCGCATTGGGTGACAGGACCCGGCAAAAAGGTGGGGCTTACTGCACAGGGGGCCCTCGGGTAGCTGCATGGCCATTCTTTCTCCCCAGCTCTGCTCTCAGTGAGCCGATGGCCAGCCACTGCTGACATGAAGAGCATTCATTCATTCCCCTATTTTGGGCTATAATTCCAGCCTTGCTGCTTAGGAATCTTTTTCTGCCCAATTAAGGCCAAAAAAAATCTGCAGGACATTACCCAGGAAACCAGCTGTGCTGTGTGGACGGCCGGCCGATCAGGTTCAGGTTGGAGGCCTTGTACACGGTCAGCGTCTCATGCACGTACCCATGGGGGTTCACATAGGCGGCCATGGGCCCGCACAGGGACAAACTACAACAGAACAAGCAGAGGGTCGGTCAGCACAGGAAAAGCCTGAGTCAAATAGTTTTTACAAGCTGACCAAGAAACAAGGTTATGAGCACTCTGGTTTCTGACCTTTCAGTTTCACATAATTTTAGACCCTTAGGTGACAAGACTGGCAGCCCGCCCAGTGCTGTCTGAATGTTCCCGTGCTGACCAGAGGGAAACGAGCACTAGTTTCTTCAACCCTCCTGCAGACCTGTGGTGTGAAATACAGCCCAGCCTCGTCTGGAGTGGGGAGGACGTGCCCCTCACCCCGGGGCAGCCCCATCTCTGCACACCGCAGTTCTGTCTTATAATTAGGAATCCCTTGTAACACGGTGTTCACACTCTGGGTCACACAGCAGCGGGCCCGGCTCAGAAGCACATCTGAATGAGCAAAACTTAACATTTAACTAGACTGTACTGCCTGAGGCATCACGGTAGGTCCCTAAGATACTCTATAACAAAGGTCAGCAAAGGCTGGGGACAAGGACTGTCCAGTTCTGCTATGTGGTGCTCAGTCCCTGAGCTGTGGCTACAGGAGCCCGGCCCTGAGGTCTCCGGCCCCCTCGGGTTTCACAGCTGTGTAACCAGAGGAGGAAACGTATGGAGAGCAGAAATGTCTCCACAATAATTCTGTGACGAGCTGGGAAAACGTACTCAGAGGTTTATTAAGAATGTAATATAGCCGGCTGGGCGTGGCTCAGCGGTTGAGCATCAACCTAGGATCCAGGAGATGACGGTTCCACTCCGGGTCGGGGCACATGCCCGGGTTGTGGGCTCGATCCCCAGTAGGGGTGTGCAGGAGGCAGCCGATCCATGATGACTCTCTCATCACTGATGTTTCCATCTCTCTCTCCCTCTCCCTCTCTCTGAAACCAATATAGTTAAAAAATAAGTAAAATAAACATAATACATCTCACCTGAATATTTCATTTTTGGTGGTGATTTCTGTTTCTTGACACTGTTTACAGCACAGAGACGTACACTAAAAAATGTAAGAGGAGATCAGTGGGGAAACTCACACTCATGTAATGACCTGATTGCACAGATCACCAAACCCTCTCTAAGGTGCACATGCTCCCTTTTAACTACCGACTTGGCTAAACCAGTGGCTGATGCACAGACCACACGCGTTCACAAAGCTTCAGTGAGGCTGATGGACAGGCACCTACAGCTGAGGGAGGCAGACAACTCGGGCTCTGCCTATGACCCCGATGAAAACTGCAGTGTCCTTTCATTCCCAGTTTTTCCACTGCAGGAAGATGAGGCCTTGGGTGCCCCTGAGCCACCCCAGCCTGACTGCGGGACGCCGGCCTCACTCGCTCACCTTGTTCATGATGTCCAGCTCACAGCGAAGCCGCTGGACGGCACTGCCGATCTTCAGGAGCTGAATCCTCAGTGCGTCATCAATGGGAAGACAAGCAGCGACTCTGTAAGAAAAGTCTTCAAGACGCGGTGGGTTTTCTGAGCTTTAAACTTAGGAAGAAGTGTCCTGAAATGCCCTCTACCGGGTTCCCAAAGACCCCGTCTCACACAATCACAGCATTAAAGGAGGCCAGCTGCCAGGCATGCGCTCTCAGGAGTTCTAACGTAACCCGACCAATGCCTGTTTTGTAAGTGCCTGCTTAGAAATTAATCACAAAATCTCACGTTAGGAGTTCTTTATTGCTAAGAGACCAGAAAAGCAGCTAAGTAGCACCTAACAGAGACACAGAGCTGATGGGTACAAGTCCTCCGCGGGGTCACCTTTCTTTAAAGCCCCCTCACAGGGCAGGGCAGGTGACGGCCCTCAGGAAGTCTGATGTGCCCATGACCGCAAAGTGAACCCCTTAGGAAAACCCTGCGGAGCACGGGGTGTCCAAGAACGTGGGGCTCTGTTAGGCCACCTAACCAAACATAAGTTTTTTAAAACTGGTGAAAGCAAAAGAAATGTGTGTACTTTTCAAAACTAATAAAAATACTAGATTAAAAAAAAACTGTTTGGTTTTGTTCAACAGAAAACAAAACCGTTCCTGTCAGGGCGGCATCTCCACCAGCAGGAAATGCTTCATACCTATTGGATTCGAAGGAAGGGATTCGTCCTTCAGGTTTTCGTCCCACTCACGCAGCTGCTTCTTGATTCTGTCCATTAATGTTTCCTTGTTGAAAACAAAAGCAGCCACAGTGAGGTTCCCAGACTTAGTTACTGTCATCTCTTCAGCTCTAATAAAACGAACACATTAGCAGCTACTGAAGTCTCACTAGTAGACTCTGAGTTTCAGGTTCTCATGGGGAGACGATCCCAGCGCCAGCTGGGCCCCGCGGGTGTGCCCTGCCCTTGGCTGCCAGGCACCGGGCTCCTCTCCTTCCCAGGAAGCGTTTTCTGCCTCCCTCCGGGATTGAGGCCCGTGGTCTGCACGCACTTTTACCACATAGGAGAGCTCATCATTTTCTCACAAGTGTGCGCAAAAAGCCCCGTCTATTGGGTATTTGTCATGAATCGCAGGCTCCCTCAGGGCTGTGCATGTGCTAAGTGCTCAGGACCTCCTTGGTTTGGTTCCCCAGGACTCGGGACCCCCACAGGGGACAAGCGACACGTATTGAATGTTACTTCATGCAGCAGCCACCACTATAGACACTCAGTGATTTGCCCCAAAGCACAGAGAAAAGGACAGACGTCAGGACTGAACAGTCTATGTCTAAAAACCCAGATTCTTCTAACTGTCCCAACAGCCCATCTCTTAGTAAGTTCTGCACAATCTGGGGATGCCGGGTATTAAAACTTAAGCAAAAACACTTGTGGATGTGCCACTGACGAGGCACCAGGAGATACATGTTAATATATTTGTATAGGAAAGTCCAAAACACGGATAAAGGATTAATTTTCTAAGTGTAACTACCACATGACTCAACAAAATTTCAAATGCTTGATAAACCTGAGAACATCTCCCTATCTGGTCCTGAAGTTACGAGGCATAAGGAACTGGGGAAACCAAAACTTCTACACGTTACAGGCAGAGCCTCTCCAGGAGTCTGACTCCGGCCTGTTCTCCACAAATGCAGCAAATGGCACCAGACTTGAACGTGAAACACCACTGAGAGTGGGAGCCTGTGTTTTCTTCTAACGGCCCCTAACCTGTGACGGGCTGAACCTAGAAACTAAGAGTGGAAGGCGAGTTACTCACAGCGTCATACAGGGAGTACAGCCAGCGAGGCCACGAGGTCAGATTCGCACAGTGAAACTTTCTCTGAAAACAGGAAAAAGCCACTTAGTAAAGTGATCCCACAACAAAGATTCTTAGGGAGAAAGCTGCACTGGGAAAACGATTTGGGCCCAGGAAAAGATGTTCCAATTTCAAAAAGAAAAGCACTGTAGATGATCCATAGTCTGACAGTCATGTTTTTATAGCCTTTACACTCATGTTGCAACTAGAATCTTGATTCTTTTGAAAAAGCTCAAATATTAACATTTCAATACTGAGGACAACTAGTGAAAATAAGAAAAGCAACCAAGTGTCCCACTTCCATGGCCGCCATTTGTCTTTATAAACTAATAAGCCCTTGTCCAGTAGCCACAGTGAAAACACAGTCCAAACTGTGTGTGAAAGCTTTAAGGGGCTGTCAACTGAGCCACCACAGAGGCTGCCGTGAAAGGTGAGGCAACTCTGAAACAACGGTGACACACAGACGGCCTGATCGCGTCCCCACGTCACAAATCCCAGAGAAAGGGGAAACCATTATGTGTCTCTCCCAGTTGTACTTTGGGATCGGAAAGGGAGCATGCCTAAGTCCATATAAAAGTATGAATTACACTTAAATTCCTGTAGAATTTCAGTGTTTGATGGGAAGACTCAATGAAGGTGTCAGTCCGCAAAGTACACATTCAACACAATAGCTATGAGGCTGGAATGAAGAAACATAATTGGAAGTTCATCTAGAAGAACACACTGTAAAAACCAAGGAAACGTGGAGAGAGGAGTGTTCTCTAGGACATGCGGAGTCTTAGACACACTGGGGAGTGAGAGAGAATCATAGGCCAGTGCATCTCCGGGAACCAGTCCTGAGCCCGATGCCCACTCCACCCCTCCCTCAGCCAGCGGCATGGAGTCCTGTCCGAGACAGAGCGAGTTTGACCAAGGAACAGAACTCGGTGCACGCTGACCTGCAGAGACGCTTCACGAATAAACACTAATTTACACCCAAACCAACCCTCACCACTCTACTGGACAGAATAAGGGGCAACCAGCGCAGGACTTACCAGCTTACAATGGAAACGTCCTTCCGTATTTGTAAGAGATGCATCTCAAAAACCAATTTATTCCAGACTCAGAATCTAGGAACCCTTTGCTGTAGGCAGAAGGCACACACCCTACTATTTCCTACTTAAAACTGACGCATCTCACAAATGAGTGAAACAGGCTTCATCTGCTTTTTTTCTAAGAGAAGAAATGGTTTAGCCAAAAGGACAGACTCAAGAATCAATGCCAAACGGGCCTCCCTGTCACAGAGCACCTGGTCTCATGCCAAGTTCTGGGATGTCAACTGTGTTGTACAAAGACAGGCGAAAAGCTCTCAGAGCCCGGAGGAGGTCAGACTTGCTCTGCACCACCCAGACTCTCCTTTCTCCAAGGCCCTGTGCTGAAGGCTGGAGCCAAACGTCTGACCCGATTACAGTTCAATGAGAGGATCTTGCGGAATTAAATCGAGCTGCTGACACAGAACCGAGTCAGCACGGCGAGAACGCTTCCTGTCCGGGCACCTTTCTCCTGCTATAAACACACTTCAGAGCGCGGTCGAGGGGCGGCCACAGGCGTGGAGATGCACCCTGAGCCGTCTGTGTTGCTTTCTTTCAGACAGGAAGACACACAAACACTCAGTCCCGCACCTTCTGGTACTTCTGCCACCACTTGAGCGAGGAGCGGTCCTCCTGGGAGCCAGGCTTGGCGGGGACCATCCGGCACTTGTTGAGGGACTCGAGCTGCACTGCGGACATGGTGGAAGGCAGCACGCACTCGGGCAGGATCTGCACCTTCGCCTGCTGGATTCTGAGGGCAAGAGCCAGACAGGGGTCCCGTGTAAGGTAAACTAACTCAAACTGAAGTTTCTAAACATGAGGCTAATTTTAAATACTAAGATTTTCAAAGTTTCCTTTTTAAAACACATTTAGCAAATTCTGATCTTAAGATACAAAAGTTTTTCAAAAATACTACAATTCATAAATCGTACTGAAGTTAAAACCAAAGATAGCCTCGGGAATGGATTTCCCGTCTCACTATGGAATGGAGAGGAAATTTCTTACATTTCAGATAAATATATAAACAGTTTTAAAAATCAACACATAACGAACTACTATTGTATATCCTGAACTTGCAAATTAGTTTCTGGGACACCCGCCATCCCATCTCCCCATCTCCCCAAGCTGCCTGCCCCTAACCCTTTCCCTCCCGATCCTCTAACCTGAGGAGCAAGAGAGAGAAAAAGAAGAGCCCATTTCCAGGGATGAGTTAAAGGAAGAACAGAGGGTGACTTGCAGCCTTGACTTCTGTGTGCATTTTTCTCATTCTCAAATGTTTAACTTCAATATGCAAAGAAGTAAAATACACATGATGTTTTTCACTTAGAAATCACTAAACTCTATGACAGTGAACATCACTTCCACGATGCCACCTGAGGATACCCTGTGAACCCCGTTGTGAGCAATGCTGACAGGAAGGCTGTACCCACAAGCCGTTTTCTGAGATGTGGGGACCCCAGTGCATTCCGAGCTAGGACGAGGCACAGGCAGGCCGACAGGTCGAGCAGCACATGCAGCCGCAGCCTCGCCAACTGCACTCAGGTTCTACGTGTCTCCGTATCAACCAGTGTCCTCACTGAACACAGCCGCGCCCTCGCCGGCGTCTCGGCAGCGGGTCTGTGGCCACTGGGGAGAAGGTGCCCCGTGCAGTCCTGCCCAGCCCTGGCTGGCTGCTGGTCCTCACTGGTCAGGGGGAAGTTCCTCGACCTGCTCTCAGAGTTAACCGTCTGCTGCCACCTGCTGTTCAAATGGTTTTCCCACAATCGAAAGTCAGATACTGACAGCCTCAGAAACACCCTTTCCCGGCCATTTTCCATGCGGTTCCTGGAACAGTGTTCACTAGTAAGTGTTTTATAAGCATGAGGCTGGGAAGCACTTTAAAAAGGGAGCTGTTGGCGCAACGCAGTGACGAGGCAGCCTGCACTTATTGGAGTGCAGGGCCCTCGGGGACACACTGTCATCCACTCCGGTGAACCTTCTGGTCCTAAGTGTAGGAGGTAGAGTCTCAGCCACTGTCCTCAAGCAGTTCATCTGCCGAGGGACAGACTGATGTCCTATGACAGGCAACGATCAAGATAAACGCTTTTTTTTAAAGGATAAAGTCAGGCGAACTGGCTTTTAAAAATGAGCTTAGTGTTCCCTGAACTTTTGAAGAGACTCTGTGAGAGCTGCCCAAGTAACTGCCAAGGCGGATACTCAGAATCTCTCCACATTAGAAGGCGCAGATGGACCAAGTACTGTGCACGCAATGCCCTGTGGGTGATGTGAAAGCCACAGAGACACACGAATGCACGTGGTCCCTACAGCTTTCCGACAGCACAGTGGGAACCAGAGTGGCTCTCGCGGATCACAGGACCCGCAAACATGGTGTCCCATGAACACAGAGCCTGTGAGCCTCTGAGCTCCCACCCTCTCACTGCAGAGAGGCCTTCAACCCAGAAGCCACGCCCCAGTGAAGCTGCCCTCTGGGTCTGCCCACTGCTCTCACACCTGCAAGGACCTGAGTCCCTGGAGATCCTAGGGGAGGGGCTACAGCTGCTCCAGGCTCCTCACTCCCAGGAATGGGCATGAGGCCGGCTCTCAGGCTTCTCCAGTTTTACAAACATCCCAGATAACTGGACACCCAGCAATTTTAGAAACCACCAGGCTAAAGTTCCCAGGGAAAGAGAACAACTAGTTAAAAGTTACCAAGTGTGACCGGGCCGGGCGTGGCTCAGCCGATGAACATCGACCTACGTCACATGCCCGAGTTGTGAGCTCCATCCCCAGTGGGGGGTGTGTGTGTGTGTGCAGGAGGCAGCAGATCAATGACTCTCATCACTGATGTTTCTCTCCCTCTCTGAAGACAATATATTAAAAAAAAAAAAAAAAAGTTACCAAGTGTGGAAGGTCAGGGGAATGAGAAACCACAAGAACCCATGTCACTGAGAGACATTTGCACAGCTTTAAGTGACGGCTTTAAGTGACAGCAGCTCTCACCCATCCGACTGCGTCCTCAGCTCCAGGACTTTGAACCTCTGTCTTCCAACCGCTTTCACTTTCACCACCTCGATCCCAAAGTCCTGCTCCTCCCGGTAGGCGTAGATCTCCGCTGTGGTTCCAAACTGCGCTTCCCTCTCCTGGGCATTACTTAAAGGACGTTTCAAAAGGAAACAGTTTTGAACGTTTAATTTTTAAATGTGCAGAGTTGACAAAAGCAATGCATGTGGAAAACAATACACAGTAATCGACCCTCACCGCAAAGCTATTTCAATATTACGCAGAGGAATTTAGACACAGGCGGCGGCCTCACAAAGTACAACCAGAGGCCTTTTAGGAAAGGACAGACTCCAGACACTGAAAGTGACCCAGGGCTAAAGGTTCCCCTTCCCAAGCAAACCCTCATTTCCTCCAGCCCCTCATTCCTGCTGAGGGCTTATTAGTACATTCTCGCTTCCTGTCCCTGCCCCCCACTTCCTACAGCGGCCACAGGGCACCTGCATTCAGCTTCAGCTTTCTTCTTTCTCTTTAAATACAGACAGGTCTTAAAATTAAGTTCCTAGAAACGTTTTTCATTAAATATTAATGATTAAAAACTTCCAAATACCATAAAGTTCGACTGTGTGTGAAGGTAAACGTCTGGGTAGACATAATGATAACAAAACACCCCAACTTTCAATCTTTTCAACAAAACTGTTTCCCTCACATCCTCACTGAGCTCCTGGCCTGAACGTGCAGCGACCACACAGGTGAGAAGAGTTAAGCCAGGACCCCGCACGAGTGCTTACCTGTAGGCCAGAACCGCGAAGGTCCTGTCTTTCTGAATTAAGTTCCGCACCATGCTGACCTCCTGAGGGCTGAAGAGCTGCAGAGGCAGTGTCTGCCCCGGAATGAGGATCATCACCACCTGCGGCAGCACCGGGATCACCTGGCAGCTGTGGTCGTCGTGCAGCGTCCTGCCGTGGAACTCCTCCATGTCGGCCCCCAGGTACTGCGGCACAGACGCAGAGTCGTCACGCGGGTGCCATGGCGCACACAACAGACGCGAGAGCAAACCGGACGGAAGGAATGTAAACAGCGGGCACAGACGTGCTTCAATAATAAAGAACTTGGCGTGTCAGCATCCCACATGGAAGTCCAACGCTGACCCTCAGAAGGAGAGTTTCTAATATTTTATAAGGATCTCACATGCAAATTCAAGACCAATTTTTTACTTCAAAATACTTTATTTTGGCTAAGAAACATCTCTGTGTCCAAACATCACAAGTGACAGCGTGAGGGGTCAGTAGGTCAGACTGTGCCCCGCTGCCCAGTGTGCAGAAAGTAAGTAGTAATTTAGAGCCTGCGCGACCAGCAGAAACACAGACAATCCCTGAAGGAATTGCCCCAGGATGTAGCATGAAGCTGCTGGGAAATCCCAGTGAGTGGGGCTCTCGGCAAACAGCCCACGTCCCTGCCCAGGCTGGGGCGCAAGGCAGTGCACAGCGAAGCTCACCTGCAGCTACACGTGTACGTTTACTGGCCATCAGGCCTGTCACCAAACTACATACCGTGTGCGATGTGGGCAGACTGGTGTCAAAATTGATGATGTTTGGTTTCTTGGCTTCTCTGCTGTCCTGGTCTTCAACTTCCATCTCTGTTTCATCTTCCCCCTCGTTCTCAGCTGCAGAAGAAGCAACTGCGGGTGACCACACCGATCGGCGCTCCCTGCCCAAGGCACAGCCCCCACCCAGAGCTCTGGGCCCTCGGAGAGAGATGCTCTCAGCAGTGACATCATTTCCCCTGCTGTCACTGCACTATTTGAAAACGAAAGTCTGCAAACATTTTCATGATTTTTGCTTTGGAATTTTAAACTTAAAGTTTGCGTGAAACATAAAACGTATTTTTAAAGGAATGTCTCAGAAAGCTTTCTCCACACAATTTTTACATTATGAAAACTAAGCAAATCTATTTTAAAACCTGGTGTTACTAACAATAGGTATGAAAGTTAGAAAAAGCTGCACTAAATAGGTGCCATTCTGTCAGATGGGATCTGTCCTTTCCATGCCAGCTCCGGGTAGACTCTCCTACCCTACAGCAGGGGTGCTCCACCAGAGGGGATTTTGCCCCTCAGTGGATGTGGGGAATGTCTGGAAGTGTTTTTGGTTGTCAGGACTAGGGGAGTCCTGCCAGCATCGAATGGCATGGCCAGGATGCTGCTAAACAAGCCAGGGGACAGTCCCCTGCAACAAAGAAGTCTCCACCCCCAAATGTCAAAAGTGCCAGCTGAGCAACCCAGACTAGCCTAGAAAAACCATAAACACTTAGTGAGTCTTTTTTTATTGTAGTCTTCACCTGAGGATATTTTTTCCATTGTTTTTCAGAAAGAGTGGAAGGGGGAGAGAGAAAGAGAGGGAGGGAAAGATAGATGATAGATAGATGATAGATAGATAGATGATAGATAGATGATAGATAGATAGATGATAGATAGATAGATGATGATAGATAGATAGATAGATAGATAGATAGATAGATAGATAGATAGATAGATAGATAGATGATAGATAGATGATAGATAGATAGATGATAGATAGATGATAGA